AATGATAAAATAAATAAATAAAAAAATTATTAAGTTGGACCATGTATAACAATAAAATTCATAGTCTTTAGCTAGTTTGAACTTTGTACATTAGTATCATTTTGATAAACCTTGTACTCAAATGATGAAGATAACATCCATCAAATCCTAAACTACATCAATTTCGTATTGTTTGCAACTTTGGAAATTTGTTTGTGAGTGTAAAATGGAGAGAGAAATATGGATGCATGAGAGAGAGAGAGAGAGAGCCTACAAAAAGAAAGAAAACATTTGTTGCAAAAAGTAGCATCCATTTTTGGCAAAGTTGCAAACAATTGAATTAGAGGTAGTAGATAACATTAAGGTAATTCTTGATATGTTCTTGAAGAGTTTTGCTCATCATTGTGCATCTATATCCAATTAACCATAAAGTGAAAAGTATAAATATATTCTTAGAGGAAGCTAGACATGCTCTAATAACCTTTTACCTTTGACAAGCAGCATAAGAGCAATTTTGGGCACACTAACAAAATAGCACATCAACAGTTGATTGCTTAAAATACAGGTGAACTTATCTCTCTTCTCTACAATACTAAGGCAAATTGTTTCCTAACTATGACACCCTACTGCGTCGACTCGTCGAGTGTCATGTATACTCCAGAATTTATAAAATTACATATATGGTCACTGTATATTTGGGTGTCTTGTAGTAACAAAGTGTCGGATTACTCGGATATGCCACCCAAATCCGATTCTTGGCAACATATGTTCCGATTGGAAAACATAAATAAACAAATGAATGCACTTATCTATATTAAAACTAATATAATAACAATTTCACATAAACATCACAATACTGAAGATTCCATCACCAAAATTTACTCTTTTAAAACCACAACTAAACAATACATTATTTATGCATACATCTCTGCCTATATATATATTATTAAAACCTAGAATTATTTTCCTAATGCATATGGTTCTAACTCTTTCTCAAAGCTTCTCCCTACCTATAGAGACCAACATCTAAAGCATGACCATGAAACACAACTCTTAGAGGAAGTTACAAAGTATCAAACATGACCAACATCTAAAGCATTCTTTAAATTTTGTATTAAAATATATCTTTACAACTCCTGTATAATAGGTTTAACTACTATAAAAAGAAGAAAAATCTATATGCACCAAAGTCCTTCAGTTGAATCAAAGATATGTTATAAAGATGGCAGTGACGACCACCTTAACATGACCAGTAACCCTAAGTGCCTATATATAATACATGGTTTGCTATCATTGTATACAGATAAAGGTGCTTCCCAGTCCAAACTCTATTGAACGTGACTTGAATCTGGAAGTAATTGATCAAAGATTGAAGGAGAAGCACTTAATAAGTAATAATCCTATGACAAATTACGACCAATGAAAGGGATATTCCAATTGACAAGAAGATTCAAAGGATCAAAAGTGCGTTTATCAAAAAGCAGCAGGAAGGTTTTCAAAAATTGACCAGAATATTTATGTGGATCATTTTCTTCTATCCACAAGCATCGCAAAAGTGCCTAATAATAAGAGTCAAATGTGAAAAAAATCAGATAAAGATCTTCAAGACCCATTGTCAGTAGCATCTACCATCCACTCTTCAATTCCTAGATTTGCAGCATTTGTGGGTCGACAACTCAAGCAGCGAAATGACAATTGAGAGGGAGAAAAATGGGCTATTTTCAATCTTTACTATTGTCAACAACGCAAAGAAGCAGGTTCAATGCGTGTCCATTGGAGACAAAGAATAGCAGTGAACAAGAATAAGGCCAGTTGCTATCCCAAGCATTGCATAAGGGCCTAATGATCAGGGTGAAACAGTGAAACAAGTTGAAATCTGGTCTGGTTGTCTCACGATTTGACAAGATTTTAAACCTTAATTTTCTTTTTACTTTCCAAGGTGAGTTGCATATGTGGGTCCATAACTCACAGACTCCAGAAACAAAACCTATTAAAATATTATATCTCCACAGAAATTAAGAGAGCTCCTTTGTCTCAACAAGTCGCAAATAATTTCTTCTCTCAGCATTGTAGTACGTATGGGCTACAGTTCGTGACTTCGTGACTTCGTGTATTCTTAACTAATAATCAACAAATTGGTAGGTTTAACTACAATGCACAGAGTAACCCTACATATAACTTTATTGAGATTATTAGCAACTTACAGAATACATTGCTAAGTTTATGTGCATAAACTAAATGCTAGATCAAAAAGCATGACAAAACTGAGATTGATGAAAGAAGACCATCCCTTTGAAGAACCTAATATAGCACCAATGAAATGAAGATCCTAATAAAGCACCACTAAGACTGATGGAATACATACAAAGAGACGAAAGTGAAAGAAGCCTGTTTAATCCAATGTAGATTTACAAAAGCCCAATTGCTATGTTTTCAGAATCCAATCCGTCAGCAATCAAAAGATTAGATTATTAACCACATAAGAGCTAAACCTCAACTGTCAAGTTAACATTGACAGTATAATGCACACAAACCAACCCTCATTTCTTCCTATTACCCCTAATTTGTGGCTCAATATTCCTAATCGAGAGCCGAAAATGGCGACGAATAAAACCTTCTTACTGAATCCATTAAACATATCGCGATACAAAACACCCATTTCGACGACATTTTATTCAATCCATAGATCTTAAAAACACCCCCATTAAAAATCAAACTCAAATAAACTAGGGTTCCAATCAAAATCAGATATAAATTCATCAAAACTCTAAGTTTCAACAATGTAAACAAAATCAAGATAAAAAGAAACAAACATACCATTCAATTTGGATAGAAGGGTAAGTTCATCCTTAGCTTCTTCAATGAGTTCTTCAACCTGACCACAACCAAGACGCTTCTCGATGATCTCCCAATCAGGCTCCTCTTCACAGACCTTGAGACGGTGGCGCGTGAAGCTCTCAACAGCCTTGCGATAGCCTTCATCTTCAGGAACAATTTGGATCTCTTTTAGGGTTTTGCTGTAGAGAGAAATCAAAACTTCTCTCGCATTTGGGACTACGTCTAGACCTACGATCCCTGTTGTTTCCTTCACTTTCGCCATTAATGGCCTTGCAATTCTCCTCAAAAACATCTTTGGTTTTCGTCGTTCGCTCTCTTTCTCTCTCTATTCGACTACTTTCTATCAACTCACCACTGTTGCTGCCTGACGTTAACGGCCACAACCACACTACACTTTATTTTTACAAAGGAGTTCAAGTAATATATACGAGTATCAAGATGGTTTTTTTTTTCCCACAATATTTATAATCTATAAAATTATTAAGGAAAAATTGATTCTAATAATCCCGCTTTTTTACGGTTGACTATTTATAATCCCACCTTTGAATTATTATTATTTAAAATCTATTTTACATGCACCCGGTGTACAGTATTTTTACTGTACATCGGACTTTTTGCACGTGCCACTCATTTACTAGGTTTTTATTTTATTTTTTTAAAAAAAAAAAAGCAAAATCGCGAAATTTAATACCTCAAATCAAAAAAACGCAGACAACAATGGAGGAGAGAGAAAGTGAGAAAACACAGCTCTTGATCATGAACTGAGGAGAGAGAAAGTGAGAAAACGCAAAAATTGTAAAAATCGATCATCAATTGAGAAGAAAAAAGGTGAAAAACGCACAAATTAAAAATTTCGATCATCAATTAAAGTAGAGAAAGTGAGAAAACTTACAAATTGAGGAATTCGATAAACGCAAAAATTGGAGAATTCGATCATCAATGGAAAATTCGACTTTCGATACCACAAATTGTAGCAATCTCATCCACGAATTGCTACAAAAACAGAGGCAAATTGAAACTGAGTTTGAAATCGATTTAAATCGATCGATTATAGAAGAAGAAGAAACAAAGATTTTTGGAGATGAATTCGTACCAATACTCAACAATATAAACAATGTAGACGATGCAGAAGAAGCAATTACAATGCAGAAGAAGCAATTGAGATTGCAGAAGAACCAATTGATAATGCAGAATATCAAGTGGTTCCTGGCAAATCAATTGATTCAAATTCAAATCAAACAACCAAATCAAATGAAACTGAAGGTAATTTCTATAAACATTTCAGATTGTATGCAAAAAGTAACCCTTTGTATGCCTTAAAGTTACCCTTTTAACAGCACAAAGTGATCCTTTTAACATCACAAAATGACCCTTTTAACATCACAAAGAGACCCTTTTAACAGCATAAAGTGACCCTTTTATATTCATAAAGTGACCCTTTTAACAACATAAAGTGACCTTTTTAACAGCATAAAGTGACCCTTTTATATGCATAAAGTGACCCTTTTATATGAATAAAGTGACCCTTTTATATGCATAAAGTGACCCTTTTATATGCAAAAAGTGACCCTTTTAACTAAAAAAGTTACTCATGTAACAACATACAGTGACTCTTTTAACAGCATAAAGTCACCCTTTTCATGCATAAAAGTGACCTTATTTTCGAACAAATGTTACCATTTTGTTTCCTCTAAATTGAATTATATGCTGCCTCTGATTATAATCTGATATATCTGTATTAAATAACAGATACAAATCCAATTCATGCTTCTGGTTTAGATCTTGGAGGTTCATTTTTTGGTGTAGTAAGAGAAACTTTTGAAGAAATTTTGGAATTGTATGAAAAACATGCTGCTATACTGGGGTTTTCAATACGAAAACATACAACTAGATACCAGACACACACAAAAATAGTAACTGAGAAAAATTATGTGTGTTCTGCTGAAGGAAAGAGAAATTCAGGTTACAAGAAAACAAAGTTAGTTGAAATAGTTAATGAAGAGGATGTGAATGTGAAAACAAGAAAGCCAAGATAAGTAGCCATTACAAGATCAAATTGCAAGGCATGCATAAGAGCAAAAGTGAATAAAGAAGGAAAGTTTGAGGTAGTGGATCATGTTATTCAGCATAACCATGAGCTAACAAGGTCATAGTGGCATTATTTGCATCGTTCCGAAAGAAAAATGACAGAAGAAAAAGCTGAAGCAATAAAAACAATGAAATCTTCAGGTCTAACTACAATGGACACTTACAATTACATGGCTACAGAGGCTGGAGGAGAACATTATATAGGTCATAGTGTTGTAGATCACCTGAATTTTTGCTCAAGGTTAAGAATGGAACAAATTGAGGCTGGAGATGCTCAAACTTTAGTGAACATTTTAAATTAGGAACGATCAAAGGATCCAAACTTCTTTTTTAGAGTTAAGTTTGGCAAGGATGGAAGAATTTCCAATATCTTTTGGAGAGATTCAATGATGCTAGAAGACTATAGGACATATGGAGATGTGCTTGTCTTTGATACAACATACAGAACCAACAGATATAATCTTATATGTGCTCCATTTGTTGGAATAAATAATCACTGGCATAATTGTATGTTTGCATGTGCTTTTATTGGGGATGAAAAAACAGATTCATTCGTTTGGCTACTGGAAACATTCTTGAAAGCTATGGAGAATAAAAAACCAACTTCAATATTCACTGAACAGGACCAAGCAATGGCAAATGCAATTGAGCAGGTAAAAGATTTATATTTACATTTTACAGATTTTAAATTCTGACAATAATGTTTTCCTTTTCCCATAAAGTTACCCTTTTAAATGCATAAAGTTACCCTTTTAACAGCATAAAGAGCCTTTTAACATCATAAAGTGAGGCTTTTAACAGCATAAAGTGACCCCTTTATTTTCAATGTAGGTAAGTTACCCTTTTAACAGCATAAAGTGACCCCTTTATTTTAAATGCATAAAGTTACCCTTTTAACAGCATAAAGAGCCTTTTAACATCATAAAGTGAGGCTTTTAACAGCATAAAGCACTAGTAGAATAAATGTAATGGGAAGCCCCAAATGGCAAGTGGTTTTGCAATTCCGCTTGCAATGTTGTAAATGGCAAGCGGTTTAGGGTGAACCGCTTGCCAAATTGTAAATGGCAAGCGGTTTAGGGTGAACCAGTTGCCAAATTGTAAATGGCAAGCGGTTTGGAACATGAACCACTTGCCATTTCTTTAAAAAACCCTAATATTTCTCACGCTCTCTCTCCTCCTCCTCTATATTTCTCATGCTCTCTCTCCTCCTCCCCTCAGTTTTCACGTTCTCTCTCCTCCTCCCCTCAGTTTTCACGTTCTCTCTCCTCCTCCTCTCTATTTCTCACGCTCTTTCTCCTCCTCCCTTCCATTTTCATGCCCTCACTCTCTCCAGCTCTCCTCCATCTCCTTCTCTTTCTTCTCTCATCTCCGTTCTCCATCTCCATGATTAGACCATATTTTCGAGCAAATTCGAACAAATTTTCGAGCAAATTTTCGAGCAAATTCGAGCAAATTTTCGACCATATTTTCGAGCAAATTCGAGCATAGACCATCCTTTTCGAGCAAATTCGAGTTTAGACCATAATTTTCGAGTTTTTTAGGTCAAATACGACCATAAAACTCTAGATCTAGAGTTTTCTTGGTCGAATTTGACCCTTAAAACCCAAATTTCAAGCCAATTTCGAGGTTATGGTGGAATTCATGGTAATTTTTATTTTTTTTAAGTTTTTATTTTTTTATTTTATGGTGATGTGTGGTTGAATTGATTTGTTTCAGGCCGATCTGGTGTTGGTGGGGGTTTTGGTGGGGGTCGTGGTGGGCGAAGTAGGTTGGGATCTGGTGTTGGTGGGGGTTTTGGTGGGGGTCTTGGTGGGCGAATGGGCTGGGATCTGATGGATGGTGGGGGTCGTTTTACGCGAAAATGGCTGGGATTTGGTGGATGGTGGTGGTGCGCGTGCGTGGACGGTGGTGGTGCATGTGGACGGTGATGGTGGCGGAGCAAGTGAACAAGAGCTGTTGTTTTTTTTTTTTTTTAATCAAGTTGTTGTATTATTTTTATTAATTACTTGTATTAATTTTTTTTTATGAAATATAATACTTATAAGTTACAACAATCAATTAATTTATCTAAATATTATTGGTTTTACATATAGTTTGTTCTTGTATCAATTTTAGTGAAAAACACCAAAAAAAAAATTTTATTTTTTATAGCCATAATGGGCAGCGGTTAGGCGCCAAAACCGCTGCCCATTCACTGCAAATGGCAAGCGGTTCTAAACCGCTTGCCATGTAAAAGGCTAATGGCAAGCCCCCTAAAAGCATGCGGTTCATAACTGCTTCCCATTAGGGGGTTTGAACCGCTTGCCATTACATATTTTCTACTAGTGAAGGCATAGACTTTGTATCTGGCATTTGGAACAAAATGCTATAACCAGATTTGGAGCTCTTAAAAAAGACAAAGAATTCAAGTATGCATTCAACCAGTGTTTAAAGATATGTGTGACAGAACAAGAATTTGAAGCAAAATGGCAAGCAATGATGTAAAAATATGAGTTGACAACACACTCTTGGTACCAAAGAGTGTACGAGTTGAAAGAGAAATGGTGTCCTGCCCTTAGTAGAGATTTCTTTTCAGCGGGAATCTTATCGTCACAAAGGAGTGAAAGCACTAATCATGCAATAGGATTCAGAGCAAGTAAAGCAACTACCTTGACAGAATTTTATACCATATTTAAGAAAACAATCAATCGTTGGAGAAGCATAGAGAAATATGATGAGTTTACCTGTAGCAAGTCAATAGCATTTACTTCATTGCCACTATCTGGAATGCTAAAACATGCTGCTCAGGTAAAAAGTTAACTGATAAGTACATAATTTACACATAAATTATACCAGTTTAAATGTAGCTAAACGATTTTGGTGAATAGGTTTTCACTTTGTCACTCTTTAGAGATTTTGAAGAGGAGTTTGGATATTCTATGGCAAAACTGTTCAAATGATTGGAAGAAATGAAGAATGTCTACTCTATCAGGTAGCCCTGGAAGTCAAGCCATGGTCTGCACATCAAGTAAACTATATACATGAGAGCCAGAATGTATGGTGTACTTGCAAAAATTTTGAAGCATCTGGATGGTTATGTTATCATTGCATCAGAATTCAACACTTGCATTCAGTAACAAGAATACCAGACATGTATGTTTCAAAAAGATGGACCAAGTTTGCAAAAACAGAGGCATGGGATAGGTTGAAGAATCAGGATCCTACACATCAATATATTCCATGGAGACAAACAATGATAAGGAAATACTATAATCTAATCTTAAAGAGTCAAGAAAATGAAGAAACAAGAGAATTTATGGAAGAAAGTTTCAAAAACAGTCTTAAAATGGTGGAAGACTTACTTGCTAGTGCTGCCAGAGAGAAAGTGCAGAAGCTGCTTATAATGTTCCTGATGTGGTAGACAGCAATGATGATGTTTCTTCGGCATCGAGTACAAGCACAAGTGTACCAACAATACTTGATCCACAAAGGGCTGTAACAAAAGGTAGAAGCAAGAGAGCAAAAGGAGGTCTTGAAAAAAGCAAGAGAAAAAGAAAACCAACACTGCCACCTCCACATTCAGAATTTGGATCTAAAACACCTAATTTGAGACTCTTTTAGGAACTTTTTTAGATCATTTTTTTTAAAAAAAAATTATGTAATTTTTATTCTAAAACTATATATTTTTTTTTTACTATGTGACTAGTTTAATGAATATGTGATTGACACTATTATTAGCATATCTTTATTTAGTTAAATGTTTAAATTAAGAGTGACCCTTTTAACAAAAAAAATGAACCTTTTTTAAGCAAAAAGTGACCCTTTTAACAGAAAAAAGTGAACCTTTAATTTACTGAAAAAGTGACCCTTTTCACATAATAAACCATTTACATAAAAGTAATTCTTTTCATGAATAAAAGTGATCCTTTTTCTAAATAAAAGTGACCCTTTTCATAGCTAAAATTACCCTTTCTAAAAATGAAGTCTTCATTTTTCTTGTTTAAAAGTTATCCTTTCTATAAATAAAAGTTACTCTTTTTCTGCATAAAAGTTACCCCATAAAAAACAGAAAAAAAAACCCATGACCCTTTTAATTTACAGAAAAAAGTGACCCTTTTCACATAATAAACCATTTACATAAAAGTGAACCTTTTCATGAATAGAAGTGACCCTTTTTCTACATAAAAGTGACCCTTTTCATAGGTAAAGTTACCATTTCTAACAATTAAATCTACCTTTTTCTTGCTTAAAAGTACCCTTTCTATAAATAAAAGTTACCCTTTCTATAAATAAAAATTACCCTTTTCTGCATAAAAGTTACCCCATAAAAAACATAAAAATAAACCTTTTAATTACTTTATATATGCACATACATCAGTATTCCAAAAAAACAACTAAAGACTTTAAACTAAGTTTAATTACATCATTGAACTTAATGTATGCACATACATTAAGTTTTTTCATTGTTAAAAAAACCCCTGACCTAATCAGCTAACAACTATCAATTATTTCACTATTTAGAAGGAGTAAACTTTTTTGCCTGCTTTTTTGCCCTTTTTCCTTTGGTCTTTTCCTCTTCTCCCTCTGCCTTTGCTTCTGCTTCTGCTGCCATTTTTCTTTCTTCTGTTTCTCTCTTCTTCTTCGCAGCAATTGCAACCTTTAATCTTTCTTCAATTCCATTGACATAAGCAGGATCTTTCTTCTTCTCGTTGAACTTGTGTAATTCTGACAACACATCGTTCCTAGATTCATTCAAATCACAGAGCACCAGTGTGGTACAGATCTCTCCTCGTAAAAATTTCCTTCCATTAATCTCACAACAAAAAAAAAAATTATCAATATGTAATTAATAAAAGCATTAGAAAGGAAAAAACTACAGAAACTATATAGATAATTATTGTTTTGAGTTCATTTAATTTGAACGATTCGCCAACAAAATGGAGCATGTGATACATGACAAAGACCCCACAGTCCAAATTGTCAACTTTTTCTTTTCTCCATTCCAACTCAACAACTTCAAAACCATAAGAAGGTAGCTGAGAACTCTTTGGATGATTTCTTTTGCCAAGAAAAGCACCCATTTGAACACACTGACATAAAATATAAAAGTTCGAATACATTAAAATCAAAAAAGTTAAAATGGAAACAATGAATCAACAGTAACATAACAAAAAAACAAACACAAACATACCATGTTTGAACACAATTCTTTTGTATAAACAAGAGCAGAATCAGTCCAGATAATGTTGTCAAGATAATATACCAACTCTTTTGTATGATCATTAACATAAAAAATGTAGTGATTCTCAATAAGAACAGGAAAATAGATCTGAAAGAGTAAAATTAAAAGAGATTTAAACAGAGCATATCATAAACAGAACTCTTTAAAATTTATTACATTAAGTTTAGAATAAATATACCAGATCAGCATCCATTATATCACATTCTGGATTCTCATAGCTAACCCAACCTTCCCATAGGTCGTGCAAATCCTTAACAGCACTAGAAATGTTACCTTTGCCAATATTGTCACAAACATGCAAGCATGCAAACTATTAAAGTATAAGATCTCAATAATATATATATATAAAGTAAATGTGTTAAGATATATAAAAAAAGAATGAAATAACTTACACTCTGCCTAACACCGAAGAAGAATTTTTGAGGACCAGTAGCCTGAAACATGCTTTCTCATTCAAATACAGACAGAAGCAATTAATAATGCACCATCGAATCCTGAGTGGAGCAACAAGGGACACCATGTCTTCTCTTGGAATTAAAAAGTTCATTCCAAAAGTAACAAGGCTCTCACTGAAACAATAAAAAATAAGATCAACATTAAAAAAAACAAAAAAATATAAGAAAAAAAACAGATAAAAAAA